TTTTTTTTTTTTTTTTTTTTAATAAGGAAGGCTGGAGAACTAGGCCTGGACCAGTCAAGAACCAGACAGCTCTGGGGAAGGGAAGGTGTCTCGGAGGACTGCTCAACTCTCTTTCTTGGATAGACCTGCTAGAATAGATGTTTTCAGCTTTCGGCCATCCTGGCCAGACTCACACTCAGGGCTGGAACTTCTTAATGGAGTAACTTGCCGAGGTCGTAGGCCCATCCCTTGATAGGGAGGGGAGGACTCCAGGTTAAAGAGCCCTCCCTACTCACGGGTTAGATTCAGTGTTCCAAAAGAGGCGCTGCTAACAGAGGAGGTGGACTGAGTCCTGGACAAGCAAAATATAGCAGTCTCTGTGGAGTCTTGGGGTTGGTCATATTTGCCTCCTTCCTCTCTCACTCTCTGTTCCCCAAGGCAGGTGCTGAACTATAAGCTACGTCCACAGAGTATGTTGAATCCACCCCTTCTTCTCTTCTCTTCTCTTCTCTTCTCTTCTCTTCTCTTCTCTTCTTTTCTCTTTCTTTCTCTTTCTTTCTTTCTTTCTTTCTTTCTTTCTTTCTTTCTTTCTTTCTTTGAGAGGTTTTGCTATTAGGGTACATATGCTCGCTGGAGAGACAGAGAGACAGAAAGTGAGAAATCAACCCTCCCCTGGGGGGTGGGGGGAGGAATGACCACACTGCAATCCCTTCTCCTGCATTCTCCTCTTGGGATTTTGGGCACACATGCACATGCACCCAGCATGAGCCCCAAGCCACCAGGTCTGGGACTTGAACTGTAGTCAACTTTGTGGGAATCCAGTGACGTAATCACTACACCATCTGCTGATCCCTCACCCCTCCTTTTCATTTGCATGACTGCTGCTCTAGATCACCCTGTTACCTGGACCCTTGAGCCTCCTAATCTGTCCTAGCTCCTCTCTCTAAGCAAGCTGCTGTTTCCTTGGTTCAAAACCATCAGATAGTCCCTGTGGTGTAACAGTGGTGACCACTGACACACTGCTTATTTTGTGCCAGGCCCTCTTCTATATGTTTTATGTATAGTAACTCTTTAAGCCCAGAAAACATCCATATCAGATAGGAACTAGCATTGCTATGGTTTGGATGTGTCTTGTGAAGTTCGTATATTAGAAATTTAATTCTCAGTGCAACAGCAATAAGAGGTGAGTTTGTTTGCTTTAATTGTCAGAGAGAGTGGGAGAAAGCAGTCCCCAGTTGGGTGTGGTCACACCACACTCCCTTCTCTGCTTCTCCATCCTATTGGGATTTTGAGGACACACACACACGCACACCCCTGATGTGTTTTTTAAGCTGCCAGGGCTGGGATTTGAACTATGGTCACCTATGTAGAATTCAACTCACTTAACTATTATGCTAATGAGTGGGCCCAAGATGTGAGATTTTTAAACATGATTAGGTTGAGGCTCATGAGGGCTCTGCCTTTGTGAATGGATTAATGCTCTTATTGCAGGTGTGGATTAGTTATTGAGAAAGTGAGTTCCTGATAAAAGATTGAAATTGGCTTCATTCCCTTTCTTCTACCTTCCACCATGAGATAACACAGCATCCAGGGCCTTTCAGAAGGGGCTCCTCAACTTCCAAACCTATAGAAAAAGAAGGGGGAAAAGTAATCTGTATTCTTTATAAATTACCCAGTCTCAGGTATCCTGTTATAGTAGCAGAAAGCAGACTAAGATAGTCATTCTCCTTATATTACTCTTGGGAAATCATGGAATAAAGAGACTGAATAACTTCTGTAACTGGATCAGAGAGGTTTAGTATCTCTCACAGCTAGAATCAGTGCAGGGATTTGAACTCTGGCAGTCTGACTGCAGAGTTTATATGCTTGAACCTAGTACTATGCTGTTAACTGAACAGGTACTTCTCATATATTTGTCCCAGGATTTATTATGAAAAATTTCCAACATCTGGAGGAGTTAAATAATGATACAGTGAATACTCATACCCACCAACCTAGACCAAGGGTTCCCAACTTCCTGGTACTGACTGGTCCATGGGCTGTTAGGAAATGGGCTGCAAGCAGGAAGTGAGCGCTGGGTGAACAAGTGAAGCCTCATCTGTATTTACAGCCACTCACCCATCTGTCCACCATCCATCCACCCACTCATTCCTGCCTGAGCTCCATCTCCTGTCAGGTCAGCAGCGGCCTCAGATTCTCATAGGAGTGTGAGCCCTATTTTGAAGTACACACGTGGGGTATCTAAGTTGCATGCTTTCATAATCCCTCCCCCCCAATCCTGTCTGTGGAAAAATTGTCTTCCACAATTGTTGGCAAAAAAGTTAGGGGCCACAGACCTAGATTCTATAATTTATATTTTACTAAATTTGCTTTATCATGTATTTTACCTGTCTCTCCACCCTTCTATCCACTCATTACTCCATCTTTTTAAAAAATCTTTGTGTTGTAAAAAATATCAATGTCCACTTAACTTTTTGTTTTTATTTTTTCTCAATTTTCTATAGGGCATGTGCACTTTCCAGAGAGAAAAAGAGAGGGTGGGGGAAGAGAGAGAGAGGGATAGAGGGGGAGAAAGAGAGAAAGAAAATGAGAAAATACTTCCAGGGGGATGACCACATTACAATCCCTTCTCCTCGATTCTCCTCTGGGTTTTGGACATGCATGCACATGCACCCAGCATGTTCCTCAACACACTGGGTCTGGGACTCAGACCAAACAGTTGGCCATGTCGGATCCAGCTTCCTTAACCACCATGCCACAGGCTGGCTTAGTTTGTGATAATCATAGCAGCTGCAGGAATCTGATATGCACAGGAATGCAAATGACAGATATGTGGAGTGAAGGAAGCTTATGCATCATATCTTTCAATTTAAAGCCTGGGCTGGCTCCATGGCCTGGTAGTGAAGGTGGCTGGATCCCACATAGCTGACCACACAGTTCAGGTCCCGGATCCAGCGGCTTGAGGAACTGCCAGGTATGTATGTATGTATGTCCAACATTTGGAAAGGTGGCAAAGATGGAGGAGAAGGAATAGTGGCATGACCATTCCCCATGAGAGTTGCTTTCTTCTCTCCCCCACTCTCTGTCTCTTTCTCCGATGAGTGCATGCTCCCTGTAGAAGAAAAAGATGGTACTTACATAAACTGGGAGAAACCTTGCTGCGAAGTGTGGACAGATACAGCGTAGCAGTTGGAAGACGTAGAGATGTGGAGTCGCTGTGTTTGAGGTGATAGCAGCCCCCCCTACCCACCCACCCCTGCTCCGAATAAGCTGCAGAAGCATTTAGGCATTGAGGCCCAGCAATGACTAGGTCTCAACCCAGAGGGAATGCTTGAGGCTAAATGAGAATGAGTGAGCACTCGCCAGGTTGGTGCTTCAGTTTCACTCTTGGATACTTCCACACTCCGGGGAGTTTGAGAAGTCAAAGGGCTGAAAGAGCATAGAGTTATGGCAGGCAGTATTGACAGTCAGGCCTGGGAGACCCTGAAAGGGATGAGGGGGGCCCCAGCAGGAAGTGATGGGCTCAGCGGCCTGGAAGCAGAGAGAGGAGGGAACCCAGATGGTAGCTGATTTTGCTTCCTTTCTTCGCAGCCTTCTCCTGACATCAGTAAAACCTCCGAGAACCTCCTGCCACCGTCCATGCAGCTTCCTCTGGGTCAAAGCTTTGTGCAAAGCCACTTTCAAGCACAATATAGGTAAGACCTGATGTGACCTGAATGTCACACCTGGGGCTCAGCAGACTTCATTGCTGGTGACCATTCTCCCATTGGGGGATAATCCTGAGATCATAGAGCAACAAAGCCCGTAACACCCTTCGTTCCCCTTATAAATCCGAACTAACCACACACTCCGACCATCTCTGATCTATAGTATCCCTTCTTCTCCTCTTTCTTGGCTTGTGGGCCTTCCATATCCCCCCTAAAGGGGAGGTGATGAAAAGGCAATTCTATGGAGGATGCATATGCAGGAACTCACCAGTGAGCAATCACCCTGCTGATGGGGAGACCCTTATCACTTGTTTTTTATAGCCAAAGAGCCCAGTTTAACCAGTCATTCTGAATTTGAGTTCCTAGCATTATGGAGGATGTAAAGATGTATATAGTTACACGGTGTTTGACTTCAGAGAGTGTGTGTTTTCTTTGTTCTTTAGATATTTTTGCCACAGGGTGCATGCTCTCACTGGAGAAAGACTGAGAGATGAAAAGTGATAAATCACTTCCTAGAGGGGATGGCCATGCCAAAATCCCTTCTCCATTCTCCTTTCAGGATGTTGGCCATGCATGCATTTGCACCCAATGTACTTTTTAAGCCACTGGGGCTGGGACTTGAACTGTGGAATTCAGCACCTTAACTACCACACCATCTGCTGGCCTGAGAAATCCCTTCTTGATGGCTATTTATTTCCATTCTTACGGGGGATTTGTATTCTGTGTTTGAATAGGAGGAGACCATTCTGACCACACAGTTCAGGTCCCGGATCCAGCGGCTTGAGGAACTGCCAGGTATGTATGTATGTATGTCCAACATTTGGAAAGGTGGCAAAGATGGAGGAGAAGGAATAGTGGCATGACCATTCCCCATGAGAGTTGCTTTCTTCTCTCCCCCACTCTCTGTCTCTTTCTCCGATGAGTGCATGCTCCCTGTAGAAGAAAAAGATGGTACTTACATAAACTGGGAAAAACCTTGCTGCGAAGTGTGGACAGATACAGCGTAGCAGTTGGAAGACGTAGAGATGTGGAGTCGCTGTGTTTGAGGTGATAGCAGCACCCCCTACCCACCCACCCCTGCTCCGAATAAGCTGCAGAAGCATTTAGGCATTGAGGCCCAGCAATGACTAGGTCTCAACCCAGAGGGAATGCTTGAGGCTAAATGAGAATGAGTGAGCACTCGCCAGGTTGGTGCTTCAGTTTCACTCTTGGATACTTCCACACTCCGGGGAGTTTGAGAAGTCAAAGGGCTGAAAGAGCATAGAGTTATGGCAGGCAGTATTGACAGTCAGGCCTGGGAGACCCTGAAAGGGATGAGGGGGGCCCCAGCAGGAAGTGATGGGCTCAGCGGCCTGGAAGCAGAGAGAGGAGGGAACCCAGATGGTAGCTGATTTTGCTTCCTTTCTTCGCAGCCTTCTCCTGACATCAGTAAAACCTCCGAGAACCTCCTGCCACCGTCCATGCAGCTTCCTCTGGGTCAAAGCTTTGTGCAAAGCCACTTTCAAGCACAATATAGGTAAGACCTGATGTGACCTGAATGTCACACCTGGGGCTCAGCAGACTTCATTGCTGGTGACCATTCTCCCATTGGGGGATAATCCTGAGATCATAGAGCAACAAAGCCCGTAACACCCTTCGTTCCCCTTATAAATCCGAACTAACCACACACTCCGACCATCTCTGATCTATAGTATCCCTTCTTCTCCTCTTTCTTGGCTTGTGGGCCTTCCATATCCCCCCTAAAGGGGAGGTGATGAAAAGGCAATTCTATGGAGGATGCATATGCAGGAACTCACCAGTGAGCAATCACCCTGCTGATGGGGAGACCCTTATCACTTGTTTTTTATAGCCAAAGAGCCCAGTTTAACCAGTCATTCTGAATTTGAGTTCCTAGCATTATGGAGGATGTAAAGATGTATATAGTTACACGGTGTTTGACTTCAGAGAGTGTGTGTTTTCTTTGTTCTTTAGATATTTTTGCCACAGGGTGCATGCTCTCACTGGAGAAAGACTGAGAGATGAAAAGTGATAAATCACTTCCTAGAGGGGATGGCCATGCCAAAATCCCTTCTCCATTCTCCTTTCAGGATGTTGGCCATGCATGCATTTGCACCCAATGTACTTTTTAAGCCACTGGGGCTGGGACTTGAACTGTGGAATTCAGCACCTTAACTACCACACCATCTGCTGGCCTGAGAAATCCCTTCTTGATGGCTATTTATTTCCATTCTTACGGGGGATTTGTATTCTGTGTTTGAATAGGAGGAGACCATTTGCATTTGCAATTTTGTTGCAGTTTGGATTAAGATTATGTTCAGTCATCACTGATAAAATAAGCAGGGTGTGACCACCTTCTCGGAGGGTGATTATTTATTAAAGAAGACTGAATAATCTCTGAACACGATGGAAGATGGAAGAATGCCGAAGCTGCTTTCCATTGGCACAGAAATCTACAGGAACTTCCCTCACTTTCTGCCCTCCTGGGGAGGAGGAATCTGAGGAAACAATCAGAGTGACTTTGGGGCACTCCTTTTCTGCTCTTGGTCACTTAGACTGTTAGGTAACAAACATCTCTTCTGAATGAGCCGAGATTTTATTGTTGTACCTGTGGAATTCACCATTTGTTTCTTTTTCTTTTTCTTTTTTTTTTTTTTTTTTAAGATTTTTATTATTTATTTATTTTGCCATAGGGTGAATGTACGCACCAGAGAGAAACAGAGGGAGACAGTGAGAGGGAAAGTGAGAAATCACCCCCAGAGTGGATGGCCAGAACTCAATCCCTTCTCCATCCTCCTCCTGGGATTTTGGGCATGTGTGCACATGCACCTGGCATGATTTTCAAGCCCCCAGGTCCAGGACTCAAACTGTGGTCAGCCATGTTGGAGTCCAGCACCTTAACCACTATGCCACCTGCTGGCCCCAGGCTCACCCATTTCTTGAGATTCAAGGAAACTTAGATGCCATGGCTAGGCTCAAATGCTACTTATAGGACATCTGTCTTCAGATATCAAAAACAAAAACTGTTAGAAACAAAGGAGACAGAGGAAAAGAAGGATAGACGCAGAGAACATTAAGGAGGAGGGAAAGGGGAGTGTAAGGGGAGGGCGGTTAATGAGTGGGGAGGGGTCACCAGTAATCACCACCAGGTGACATTCATTGATGTCCTCATACAAGAAGTCCACCCATTTCTCTATTCCTTTCCCCTGTTATCCATATACATACTCTCCCTTCCAAATATTAGTCCTACTGTTGTGCTAGGCCCAGTGGTTACCGTGAGGACCAGCACTCTGTGCCCACAAGAGAGAAACTCCAACCAGCTATACCAACAGTCCCTGGCTTATGGTGTTCAATTCAGGAGTTTTTGACTTATCATGGTGCAAAAGCAATATGCATTCAGTAGAAACTGTAATTTTTTATTTATTTTTTTTAGAGATTTCTGCTATAGGGAATGTGCACTCACTGGAGAGACAGAAACAGAGAGACAGAAAGTGAAAAATCATCTCCTGGGGGGATGGCTATGTTGTAATCCCTTCTCCATTCTCCTCTCAAGATTTTGGGCACTTATGCACATGCGCCCAGCATGAGTTTCAAGTCAACGGGTCTGGGACTCAAACCATGGTTGACTACATGGGAGTCCAGTGACATAACCTTTACACCATCTGCTGATCCCAGAAGCTATGTTTTAAATTTTTTTTAGAGAGGATTTTCCTATAAGGCACATGCACTTGCTGGAGAGACCGAAAGTGAGAAATCTCTCCCCAGGGAGGATGACCACACTGCAATCCTTTCTCCTCCATTCTCCTCTTGAGATCTTGGGCACACATGCACAGGCACCTGGAATGTTTCAACCTGCCAGGTCTGGGACTCAAACCACAGTCGGCTACATGAGAGTCCAGCAGTGTAACCATTACTCTATCTGCTGGTCCCTTGATACTGTATTTCTTTTTTTTTTTTTTTCCATAGTTTATTTTTTTTATTCCTATTATTCATACGTTAAATCACTATACATCATTTAGATTGTGAAGAAACTTTACCCAGCATGATATACACCTCAGTCCAGCACGGTTGAGACTATTATACACATCCTCGTCTACAGATAATAAACCTTATCTGTGTCCCACAAGTGTCTTACCTCTCCATTTTCCCCCCAAATTTCCTTTCCTATGCTCTTCCCCTCCTACACTCTCTTTCCACTTTGTCTCTAGTGTCCATTATTCAAGTATCTATATAGCCATCTGGTTTTTCACTTACAGCAGTCAATAAATTAATGAGATGTTTGTGTTGGATGATTCTGCCCACCGTTGGAGGCTAATGAAATGTTTTGAGCATGTTTAAGGTAGGCTAGGCTAAGCTATGATGTTTGGCAGATGCTTGTTATTGTGTCACTAAATGGAAGTATGGGATCATTGGAAAAGTCAGACACATTTTTGCATAGAAAAACATGTCATGACTTTTCTGATGACCCAATAACCTGGCTGATTTATTAAGAATAGAGGTTTAGAAAACAGCAGATGGCGTAATGGTTACGTCACTAGACTCCCATGCAGTCCACTACAGTTTGAGTCCTGGACCCAGTGACTTAAAACTCACACGGGATATGTGTGGGTCTGGGCCCAAGATTCTGAGAGGAAAATGGAGGAGAAGGGATTGCAGCGTGGCTATCCCTCCTGGGCAGTGATTTCTCGCTTTCTGTCTTTCTTGTCTCTCTGGCAAGTGCACATGCCCTATAGCAAAAATTTCTAAAAAAAAAAAAAAGACTAGAGGTTTATTTGGTTCATGATTTTGGTGGCTAAAAAGTCCAAGAGCATGAGCTTGACTTTTGGCTGGCCTCTGGTACTAAGTCTTGGTGTGGCCAAGAGAAGCTAGGAGTTGGCAGCCATGCAGAGAGACAGTGAGAGAAAGGAACAGGAGAACTTTTCTACTTCCTGTGTTTGTCCCTCCCACACTCCCAACCAATTGGATAGTGCCAGTACACCCTGAAGGCAGGC